CGCCCACCAGTGGCACAGCGATATGTCTGCGGACTTACAACGCTAGAATCCGGGTTTCTATACCCGTGGTGGGCAGAGCACAGATAGCCCATTGTGTAGTTTTGTGCTTAATTACAAACAACAAACGACGAGACACACATTCGGCATGTAATGATGTTTGAATACAAGAAGGGAAACAACGCCTCTGTAGCCACAAAGAATATCAAACAAGTTTATGGAAATGTTTCTAACGTTCGTAAGTGTCAACGATGGTTCAGCAAATTTCGTTCAGGTGACTTAAACCTTACAAACTGTGATGGCAGGGGCCGACATGTTGTAATTGATATTGATGCTCTGAAGACTCTTGTTGAGTCTGACCCAAGGCAACACACTCGTGAAATGGCTCTGAAATTGCATGCCTCTCATGAAACAATACGTAAACATCTAAGGAATATAGGAAAACTCCATCAAGCCGAGTGCCTTAACCACCTGGCCATGCCGGGGCCCTAATTATTAGCCATTATTAGGCTGTGAGGTAACGAAGAGCTTAAATATTTTTATGAAAATATTACAAAACATGTACCTTGAAGAGCATATTGGGTAATAAGTTTAACTTGTGGGCACTAAGCTACACAAAACGTGGGTTAGAAACAATACAACTTATTTGAATAACTGCAGGTTCATTTTCAAAACAACGCTATCATTTTAGACTGTAAAAGCATAACGCACATTAATGTGTTGACCGAAACAAAATCTTTGTTTTACACAGTTTACGTACACGTGATAATATTAGAAAATTAAATCACGTAAGAATATGAATTAATGTCACACATAAAAAAGAACATTTTAAAAATGGCTTCAGATGAAGAGCGATTCGTTTCCACAATGTACATGTTATTCCTAAACGGCCCGAACCGGAAAGTACTCAGATGGTTGACCAGTAAGTTTATAAACTTTGGGATTTGAATCCCCGTGGCTTACAAAGTTTAGAATTCCGTTTGTTTTTATCTTTGTGGTAAAACAGCGACAACCAAATCTGGACTCGTCATCAAAATATGGCTTCACAACATTGTTTGTAAACCTGAAAAAATATGGCTTCACAATATTGTGAAAACAACTACCACGAATTTGAAACCCACGCTCCATCAGTTGATCATTTTCATTTAACCCTTCAAACGTATACTTTAGTTTGTGATAAAATATTATCTAGTGGTTATTATATGTTTGTTTCCAAGGCTACGTGCACCACCTGGGAATGTCACATGCCACACACTTGCTTCATATATGTATACATTATGCATACACATACGTGCATACACATACGTCGATGTTGTGCCTGTAGAACACAAACACAGTGACTTATTATTTTCAGGGCAAGAAGATCGTTCGACATCAGGTTAGATAATTTTGTATTAACTATTATAATAACTGTACAGCATGACTTGTTTACAATAAATATATAAACTTAGGAAACTCTAACAACTGATATAAAGTCTCAAGTAAAAATGTCTCTGTTGAGATTATATACCGTAAAAGAAGTTGAGTTGCAAGTCAATACAAACATTGTATTATTTCACAACACAGTGTAGTAAATCACAACTGATTATTCTACCATACAAAATTGATATTAGATTTTTCTTAAACACTGTCGTTGAAAAAAAAATGAAGCCTCATTTCCGGTTTAGCTGTCGATGTTGTTGTTGTTGTTTTAGCACAAAGCTACACAGTGGGCTAGTGTGGTTTTGTCCATCGCATTGAATCGATCTTCGAATTCTAGCGTTGTAAGTCTTCTTACACTTACTGCTGACCCGACAGAATACTTTCCGGTTTGGTCCATTTAGGGATGACATGTACATTGTGGAAACGAACCGCTCTTTATAAGAGGTGATTTTTAAAGTTATTTTTATCCAGTGTTTGACATTAGCTTTCATTATTTCATGACTTAATTTCTTGATATTATTATTATGTATGTGTGTATGTAATATTTTGTAATATTCAAAACATTAAAGTGGGTTCTGTTTTTTAAGCCTAAAAAGATTGTGTTGTTTCGAAACTGAATCTGCAGTCACTCAAACAAGTTATAATATTTTAAATCCACGTTATTTGTAGTTTAGTACTCACAAACTAAATGTATTATCCAATAGGTGGTTAGAGCGCAATCCGAGAGTCGTAGGTTCGAATACCCTTCCAAGAAACATGCTCGCCCTTTTAGCCGTGGTGAGAGGGGGGGGGGGTTATAATGTGACGGCCAATCCCACTATTCGTTGGTAAAAGAGTAGCCCAAGAGTTGGTGGTGGGTGGTGATGGCTAACTGCCTTCCCTCTAGTCATTCACTGCCAAATTAGGGGCGAAATTCAAAACAAGTCAAGGTATATATTTTTTAATCATTTCCTGATTTATAGAATATCTTCATAAAAAAATGTAACTTCTTCATTACGTAACAGGCTAGTAATACTAATCATCAAAGCCACTCCCCCAACATCATATACGTAACAAGATTACTAGCCTATTACGTATATGATGTTGGGGAGTGGCTTTGATGATTATTATTACTAGTCTGTTATGTGTATGATGTTGGGGGAGTGGATTTTATTATTAACATTACTAGACTAATCATCAAAGCCACTCCCCCAACATCATATACGTAATAGGCTAGTAATAATAATCATAAAACCCACTCCCTCAACATTATTTTGTCTCTCATTTCTTTTAGCTTTTCATTGTTCAGAAGTAAGTAAACACATGTTTGTTTTTAAGAGGAACCCACTTGGAAAGTGGGACACGATCACGTAAATACAAGTAAAATACAAATGATATTTATCGAAACGTCTCGTCGGCAATGGCGTTCGGCACACAAAATTTGGTTGAAATGCTATAGCATTTATTATTATTGGAAACCTGTAATATAGAGCCAATAAAGAAATGTTTGTAAACAATTATCAACAGAGCTATTGTGATGTACTGTCACACAAACTAACGGTCAACAGATCACACCTTCGTCAGCACGAGACGTTTTATACCATGGTGATTCCTCATAATACTCGAAGGCGAAGGTAAATTAAGATTTCCTCAGATGAGTCTAAATAAATCCTTTCCTTAAAATGCACAAATGTTTGCCTAATTGCACGAAAAAAATATTTTACATGAGTGGTGTTGAAAAAGATAGGAAATGTTATTTCCTGCATAAACAACAAACATATAAGAACTGCATTGAATATTGTATCATTTCTCACCATTTTTTTTTATTCCTGTAAACTCCCAGTGGAGCATAGGGCCGCAACAACACCTCGCCAACGGAAGATGTTGTTGCAGTTACTTGTAGCAGGTTGTTTTTTTACGGGGTGGAGTTGCTAGCCCCGCGCCCAACCCTCCTCCTTTCTCATCCTGGACTTGGGACCAGGCAAAGGCGGCATTTCTCACCATAGTCTCTATTAATTAAATGATGGCCTGGCATTACCTGATGTGTAGGGCACTCGGCTTCCAATTTGTAGGGCACACTCAAACTTTTTTCACCAAACATGCTTGTCCTTTCAGGCGTGGGACCGTTGTAAGTTGACGGTCAATTCCCATTTTCGTTAGTAAAAAGTAGCCCAAGAGTTGGCGGCGGGTGGTGTTGACCATCTGCCTTTCCTCTAGTAGCCCTCGAGTAGCTTTGCGCGAAATTCCAAAATCAAACAAACAACTACATGATGCATTCCCGAGTTTCATCAAGCCATTACAACTCACACAAAGCTGCTTTAGAATCAACATTGGTCGCGAAGAATTGATTTCGAAGAATTATTTTGATAAGACCCAAGTTTGGATCATGCGCTTGAGAAAAAGAAGGACAACTGATCTTAGATTCTCAGTAATAAGGAACTTTGAAATGTTGAAAGATAACCTTTTAAACAGATACTGACCTATTAATATTTTCTACAATGATAAAGCGTATTTGTGTATGTGCCAGGAGTAAAACGGTTCTTAGTTTGTAGAAAACTTGGTTCACGAGTTTAATAACAAACAACAAAGGTACGTTGAACCACTTTTCTTTTTGAATTCTGGAATTTCTTTTTAAATGTTTATAATGCTGTTAGTAGTGGTATTAATCTTTATAAGATATTTTCAATGTTGTTAGTAGTGGTATCAATCTTTATAAGATATTTATAATGTTGTTAGTAGTGGTATCAATCTTTATAAGATATTTATAATGTTGTAGTAGTGGTATCAATCTTTATAGGATATTTATAATGTTGCTAGTAGTGGTATCAATCTTTATAAGATATTTATAATGTTATAAATATCTTATAAAGATTGATACCACTACTAGTATCAGAAAACCCTCTAAGGAACCCCATAACACTACTGATATCAGAAAACCCTCCTAAAGGAACCCCATAACACTACTGGCATCAGAAACTAGTACTTTAAGATGAAAGAAAATAATTGTATAATCAACATACAGAATATTGTTTTAGTAATCTTCATTTACGTTTACACTTTTCTCATTTTGATACCACTACTAGCAACATTATAAATATCCTATAAAGATTGATACCACTACTAGCAACATTATAAATATCTTATAAAGATTGATACCACTACTAGTAACATTATAAATATCTTATAAAGATTGATACACTACTAGCAACATTATCAGTAGTGGTATAGGGTTCTTTTGGAGGTTTTCTGATGTCAGTAGTGGTATGGGGTTTCTTAGAAGGTTTTCTGATAGCAAGAATAACGTCATGTTTATTGCAAACAAAAATCACAGACTTCGTAAACACAAACCTCCACATATTGAAAAAAGAACCTAATAGACTGTAAACACAAACCTCCACATATTGAAAACAAGAACCTAATAGACTGTAAACACAAACCTCCACATATTGAAAACAAGAACCTAATAGACTGTAAACACAAACCTCCACATATTGAAAACAAGAACCTAATAGACTGTAAACACAAACCTCCTCATATTGAAAACAAGAACCTAATAGACTGTAAACACAAACCTCCACATATTGAAAACAAGAACCTAATACACTGTAAACACAAACCTCCACATATTGAAAACAAGAACCTAATAGACTGTAAACACAAACCTCCACACATTGAAAACAAGAACCTAATAGACTGTAAACACAAACCTCCACATATTGAAAACAAGAACCTAATAGACTGTAAACACAAACCTCCACATATTGAAAACAAGAACCTAATAGACTGTAAACACAAACCTCCACATATTGAAAACAAGAACCTAATAGACTGTAAACACAGGCTTTAGAATATAAAATAGACTCCAGTTGTCAAAGAAAGGATCAAATATCGAAAACACCAGCCGTAGACACCGACAGCACATAGCTAAACCATCTAAAACATGTATTCCAGTTTTGTTAAAAACCTCACGCCTTGAAAATATAGTCTACAGACAACGAAACTACTCTTTATAAAATATAGTCTACAGACAACGAAACTACTCTTTATAAAATATAGTCTACAGACAACGAAACTACTCTTTATAAAATATAGTCTACAGACAACGGAACTACTTTAGAAAATATAGTATACAGACAACGAACTATTATTTATAAAATATAGTCTATAAACAACGAAACTACTCTTTATAAAATATAGTCTACAGACAACGAAACTACCTTTTATAAAATATAGTATACAGACAACGGAACTACCCTTTATAAAATATACTCTACAAACAACGAAGCTGCCTTTTATAAAATATAGTCTACAGACAACGAAGCTGCCCTTTATAAAATATAGTCTACAGACAACGAAACTACCTTTTATAAAATATAGTATACAGACAACGAAACTACTCTTTATAAAATATACTCTACAAACAACGAAGCTGCCCTTTATAAAATATAGTCTACAAACAAAGAAGCTGCCCTTTATAAAATATAGTCTACAGACAACGAAACTACCCTTTATGAAAATATAGTCTACAAACAACAAAACTACCCTTTTTAAAATATAGCCTAAAGAAAATACCATTTATAAAATATAGCCTACAGAAACTACCATTTATAAAATATAGCCTACAAAAACTACCATTTATACAATATAGCCTACAGAAACTACCATTTATAAAATATAGCCTACAGAAACTACCATTTATACAATATAGCCTACAGAAACTACCATTTATAAAATATAGCCTACAGAAACTACCATTTATAAAATATAGCCTACAGAAACTACCATTTATAAAATATAGCCTACAGACAACGAAACTACCATTTACTAATTCCACTATCATTTATTTTGGCACCTCTTCCTTTTTCTTACTTCATAATTCCCTCAAACCAGTTCATCGGCTGTGAAATTTGCTTTGTTTTGAATTTCGTGCAAAGCTACATGAGAGATATCGCGTTAGTTGCCCTTAATTTAGCAGTGATAGACTAGAGGGAAGGCAGTTACTCAACATCACCCACCGCTAACGCTTAAGCTACTTTTCTACCAGCGAATAGTGGGATTAACCGTCACATTATAACATCCCCCATGGCCGAAAGAGCGAGCATGTTTGATGATGGGAATTCGAACCCGCAACACACAGATTTCCCTAACCACCAGGCCATGCGTAGACCCAGGTTGTGAAATTAATATGCTGTATTTTTTCATACACACAGATTTCCCTAACCACCAAAAGCATATTAATTTCCCAACCTGGGTCTACGCATGGCCTGGTGGTTAGGGAAATCTGTGTGTATGAAAAGCATATTAATTTCACAACCTGGGTCTACGCATGGCCTGGTGGTTAGGGAAATCTGTGTGTATGAAAAGCATATTAATTTCACAACCTGGGCCTCATACACACAGATTTCCCTAACCACCAGTCCATGCGTAATCTTTATTAATAATTACTGTCATATTTCTAACTGTGT